TCATCAAATGCCACACCCACAGCCGCCAGTAATGCAGCCCAGTCCAGGTCTGCATCCACCTCCAAGCTGGGTAGGGGGGATGGTGATGACTACCCCAAGTGCCCTGGCCCTTCAGCCCTGCAGGCTGACTCTGACCACATCCACTGGCTTGGTCCAGCTCTGAAGAGGGCTTGAGATCTGCTTGGGGTCTGCTCAACACAGCTACCCAGCTGCTTCCCAAACCCAGGACCCCAATCCTGGGCGAAGGGGGGCCAAGGATTGAGGTTGGAGCAACCAACCCAGGAAGCTAATGGGGATGGGACAACGAGCTGACAACCTCAAAGCTGGCTGAGCTTGGAGAACAGGGGTTCACTTACCTTTGGAGACTGAAGAGGCTTAGAAGGGTGAGGGGCAGGAGTTCTCAGCCTCTAGAAACCTTCCGCATCCCCCCTCCCCAAGGCCGCCCGCAGGCCCAGCCGAGGTATCCAAGGGGCGGGGCGGGAGAGGCGAAGGGAGCGGCCAGCGGCAGGCGCGCGGGAGCTGAGTTGCCAGAGCATCTCTGGAGAAGCCGCCTTTTATGGGCGTTATTAGCGCCCCTGTCTAGACTGGAGACGACACCTCCTCTGTGTGTAAACAGAGGCGGCGGGCTCCGGCGCGAAGGGGGATGGTGAAGCAGCCCTCCCCTTCATTGGCCACCGGAAGATCAAGGCCTTTTCCATCCTCCCCCCCTTCCCCTGTGCTCCCTGTGATGTCAAGGTCAGAAAGACCTAGTCATGGTCAAGGCTAAAAGAGGAAGAGCCTGGTTGGTTGCTAAAAGAGTCTAGCCCCCTCCTCCTTCTCCCAGAAGCCCCTTGCTCCTCAGGGCCCCTCAATCCTGCACCAACCAACGAATGTCTAGAGACACGTCTGCGAGAACCGCCACTTAGAAGTTTTGTTAAGGGTGGGCTCCAATACCACCTAAGACTGACTCAGGAGGATCCTGGGTGGGAAATTCTCTTTGAAACAGGACGGAGCTACAAAGAGGTCAATTGCAGGGACCCCAGCTGGAACAGGAGGGACTTTTTAGAGAGATGTCGGCTTTGCACCCACAGTGAGTGCTCACCTCTCTCCCCACTGCTGACCCAGCCGCCTGTGAATCAATCTCAAGATGGTCTCAAGAGCAGACAGCCATGAAGGGATCTGCTGAGAGAATTGCTGGCCTTGCTTCCTCAGGTGGGTTCCTGACTCTGGGACTACTGACCAAAGAAAGGCCTATCTTGAAAAGCTGAGTGAGGAAGGGTTTTTTCTCCAATCAGAAAAGGATCTAGCTGAACCATCCTTGGCAGCTTAGGAGAATGACCTCCATAGGGTGAGTCCTGTGAAGCCCCAGCTCACTAGGCACACTTCTTGGCCTAGGGCAAGTGGGGAGTGGCATCAGGCTATCAGAAGGATACAGTCCTTCAGACTAACCTCTTGTACCCTCCTATTTGCCTTCACTTGCAGCCAGCCTAATTCTAACACCAACACTAGGAGACTGGCCTTGGAAAGAAAGACTTTTGGTGGGGAAGGTACTGAGGATTGAACCCCAGGGTGCTCTACTATTGAGCTATGTCCCAGCTCTTTTTAACTTTTTGAGATAGGGTCTCATTAAGTTTCTTAAGGCCTTTTTCCATTGCTGAAGCTGAGCACAAACTTGTGATCTTCCTGCTCCAGCCTCCAAAGTCACTGGGATTACAGGTTTGTGCCATCATGCCTAGCCAAAAGATTTTTATTGTAGGTGTAAATAAAAAGGAGAAAATGCACTCTACACCTTTGGGTAAGTGTGCCAACTGACAACACTTTCATTTCTACACTTCCATACAAGCAGCCAGGACATTCTCAACTGCTCAAAGGCTCTACACACACACACACACACACACACACACACACACACACATCCCTTCAAGGAATATCTCACACAGTCACCAGTGACAACTCTTGGATGAAGAAAAGGGACCAATATAATTGGGAAATAATATCCATTTCCCAACTTTGCTTCCCCAGACCCCCCCACACACAATATTTGCTTACTGTTATTTAGATATACCTCCAGAATTAATTTGGGCATGATAAGCCTCTAAAATCAGTGTAGATATATTTCATCAAGTATTTGGGAGGATTCTAAACATGCTGGGGCTCACAAGCTTTCAGAGAAAACACAGTCCTTGCTTCCCTTGCCAATGTCCTAGTGCACCTTCAATCACCCACTTCTGGGTCTTTGAAAGCATCTCTCAGTATGGAAGACTTGATTTCTTTCTTTTTTTCTCCCTACTCCCCACCCCACCCATTTCTTTTCTTTCTTTGTTTACTTCTTTCTTTCTTTTCTTTTCTTTTCTTTCTTTTTTTTTTTTTTGTCAGTGCTGGGATTGAACCCAGTGCCTTGTACATGTAAGGCAAGCACTCTACCAACTGAGCTATATCCCCAGTCCCTGTTTGTCTGTCTGTCTGTCTCTCTCTCTGTCTCTCTCTGTCTCTGTCTCTCTCTCTCTCTCTCTCTCTCTCTCTTTCTTTCGAAGGGCTTTGCTGTGTTGCCCAGGCTGGCCAGAACTTCTGGACTCAAGCAATTCTCTGGCCTCAGTCTCCAAGTAGTTGGGACTTCAGGCGCACTACTATGCCTAAAACTTGGTCATTTGTTTAAGTATGGGTTTGTGTGCAGAAATAGAAGGATCCCTCAGTCCTCAGAGAACTCTAGACTTCTCTTTACTCACTGAGTCCCCAACTTCACTTGCATCTATTACAATGTCACAGGACTACCCCTAACAGTCAAGAGGACTGGGCTTCAATAGTCCCAGGATTCTCTCCACTTTGTTCCTTTCTGTAATCAAACTCACACACATTTAAACTTCAACTCTCTATCTCAGAAGACATTCAGAGGTTTTTGGAGAAGAGTTGGTATACTAGATGTGGAGAATAAGGAGAGATGGAATTTAAAATGAATTTTTTTTTTTTTGGTACTAAGGATTGAACCCATGGGTGCTTAACCATGGAGCCATCCCCAGCCCTTTTTATTTATTTATTTTTAAAATTTTGAGACAGGGTCTCACTTACAGCCCTTCGAAGTTGCTGAGGCTGGCTTCGAACCTGTGATCCTCCTACCACAGCCTCCTGAGCTGCTGGGATTACAAGCATAAGGCATTGCACCCAGCAAAAAAAGAATTTTATTCTTAGGAGATTCATCTATTACCTCTCTACTACCTAGTATGTGGTTCTCTGGTAGTCAACCCTGTGTTGAGACCAGTGGAACAGAAGTGGCAGCCACATCTCTTGTACAGCCTCTGCAAAGAATAAACTCTTCAGGCTCTTTGTCTCAGGCTGTGTATGTGTATGTGTGTGTGCGTGCACGCGCAGGTGCACACATGAGCATGTGTGAACTTGTGCTTCACTCCCAGAAAAACTATTTAAATGAAAATTTAAAAGCTACAGCCCCATCAGGCAAAAGGAAAATGGAGAACTCTGATTTCCAACCTGATGCCTCCAGTCTTTCTATGTCTCAGGAGAGGAAAAATATTATATATAAATAAAAATTGCTGCAGTAAAGATTTAATCTGAGATAACATTGTTTTAGGCTATATTGCTTTTTAAAAGTCTCTTAACCTGACAACTTAACGATCTCATTAACTCTGCCAGATAGGGAGATAGGCACAGACGCGACAAGGAAAACAAATTAGTGGCAGCATCTACACAGGCTCCTGATTGCCTGGAAGACTGGGCTTCCCAGAAATGCTAGAGAGTAAAAGCAGTGCTGGCTTGGGTAACTGGGGGCCCAAGGGATCTTAGTGTTCTGACCTCTCCTCATAGGTTGACAGAAGAAAATACTGCACTCAGGGCAGCTGGATCCTAAGCTTCCTTGGCAGACTGTGCCCATCTTATTCCAGCCTCAACTCCAGCCCCAAGCTGGCTGGAGGAATTTGGGACCCTCTGATGGCAGTAGGACCCCTGTTGGAGCCAAAGTTTAGCTTTCCATCCCTGCAGCTGCTACCATAAATCCACTCAGCTCCCAGTTGGGATGCTGCCTACTCAGCACCCAGAATGGATCTGAATTTCAGTTATTTTTTATATATTTTGTGATAGTGAGGATCAAACCCAGAGCCTCATGCATACTACTCAAGCACTCTACCTCTGAGCTATACCCCCAGCCCTAAGCCCCAACTATTAGTGGAAGTGGCCAGTGATGTACTTTTCTCATCCAACTACTTCCATGCCTTTTAAGTTACCAAACATTTTTTTTTCTCCCCTAAGTTTGGTGTCAGCATGGGAAGTTTTCTCTTGCTTGAATAGTACAAATAGTTCAAACCCTAAGTAAAGCAAAATACAGCTTGGAGATCTACCCAGATGGGGTGAATCTATACTCTTTCCCCTGCCCATTCTGGCTCAGTCATTAGACATCATTAGATGGTTCTGAGAAGCCAGTGGACAGAAGGGACGTCAGAAGGAAATCTGAGCAATGAAATCAAGCCAAAAAAAAAAAGATATTTTATTTTAAAAACAGGTTTGTGGGATTTTTCTGTTTGCATTCAGTACATTGTCATTCAGACATCACAATACTATATACAGATACACAACATTTAAAAAAGAGCCTATTTCTGATGAACATTTCAAAAGAACACTGTTTTGTAATGCGCCAGTGCGAAGAAGGAAGGAGGTGAGGGGTCCCCACAGCACCGAGTTGGCCTTTGAGAGGGGAAATATTAGGCAGCATCTACATTTAGCTGGATAATTGAGAACCAGTTATTTTAGGCTCCTAGAGTAGCTCCTCTAGCTTTCCTAGGAAACTCAGTAAAAATGAAAGTGTAAATCCTCTCTCTTCAGCTATTGTTTTGATGGAGAACTGACCAGAGAAAGATTCTACTGAGGCACCCACTCTCCATCCCCTTCAAAGAGAAGTTTATTCTTAAAAAAAAAAAAAAAAAAAAAAAAAGTTCTGTTTCTGAGCCTGGCCTAATCCCCAACCTCACCAGGAGAGAGAAAGATAAGCCACATTTAGCACTGGGGTTGGAGTTTTGTCCTCCTTGAATTTCCACATGAGTGAGAGAGAGAGAGAGAGAGAGAGCATAGAAGGGAGGTGGTGGGGGCAAAGGCAGCTCCAGAGAGAAATTGTTTTCAGGTTGGGATGGGTTAAGGGTTGCACCAACTCCAGGTTTTGTTGAAATAGGAAAGAAAACCTAAAAGTTCTAAGCAAGATCTGTACTCCAATCAAGCTGCCAGGTCTCCAATAATTATCATCAATATCATTAACACGACTTTAAAAATATGCACAAAAATCATCGTAACTGGAAAATCTTGCCTATGGAATGCAAGAGGGAGAGGGAAAAGGAGAAACTGGAAGGAAAGTACAAACTCACCAGATCCTGTGCCCAAGCCACACCCCTAAGAAGGGTCTTCTACCATCTTGGGCATAGGATGAGGCAAGGATAGGGTCATTTGGGACATCCCCCCACCAACCTTACTTTGGTTGGAAAGATTGGGCTCTCCGCTGCCATTCCTCTATTTCTGGTGAGGCGAAGGGAGACAGCCAGAGAAGTAGAGGCCCACGGCCTTCCTCCCACAACTCGCCAGCTCCAAAACAGCTGAAGCTCGGTGAGTACCCTCTGGATGGGAGAGGGGGCGGGATGGAATGGGGATTTAGGGCGCAGCCTGGGAGACTCTGGGCCTCCTGGCGCGGGGTCCTCTTTCTTGTTAACATTAAATACTCGTCTGCACGGGCGCAGCGTGTCCTTCGTGGGTTCGGTTATGGTACAAAGCGGCGACATAAATAGACGGGGCGGGCTACGGGGTGGGCGGTCAGGTGGAGTGGAGATGAGGTGCTTTCGATTTGCTGACCACCTTCTTCTCTTTCACCCGGCGGTTCTGGAACCAGATGGTGACCTGGCGCTCGGAGAGGTTCGTGGTAGCAGAGATGCGCCGGCGCTTCTCTTTGGTGATGAACTTGCTAGCCGCATACTCCTTCTCTAGCTCCTTTAGCTGCACCTTAGTATAGGGCACACGTTTCTTGCGCCCGCGCCGGTAGCTGCTCACTTCGGGCTGTAGGGGAACCACATCTGAGGGGAAAGAGAAGGCGGGCGGGAGGAAGTGAGGCAAGCGGCTGGATCTGGCTAGAGGCCGCAAGCAAGGCTGTGACACTGCTGAAGCACGGGGTTTGGGCAGGGACTCAAAGAGGGCCCGCGGATTGCTCTGCCTAAGTAATCCTTTGCACCTTTGCTATTAATAAAGACAGGAATAGGGTGAGACCACTGGGGTTCTGGCCTCTGGTACAAATTTCAGGGGAAGAGGTGCCAAAAAGTCAGTGATTAAGATAATATTTTAATGCAATGTTTAAAATAATCAAAATAAATGCAAAAAACGCACGATAAGCAGAATATCAATTTAAAAAATAAATACAGGATCAGTATTACTGATTTTTCATTTTGCCTCAGGCTCCAAAATGGCTCTGCATAGCTCTCCTTATTAGGAACCTTGAGCCTTTAGAGGAGAACCTCTAAGGACCTCCCATGCCTATTGGATCCCGGGTATTTAAAAAAATACCTTCCTACAGTTGGCTCATTGGGTGCCTATCAGTCTATACTCTGCCCCATCATCAGAGGAAGGAGTTCTGTTGTATGTGTGTTCTCGGCTTCAGTGAGCACAGACAACCAAATGGGTTTGGGCACTGGCCTTACAACAGAAATCTGAGGTACTAACATAAAATGTCAGGAGAGGAAGGGTGTCCAGGGGAAGCCAGCCTGTTTGGGGACCAATTACTCTAAAATTGGGGCTCAATGTTGTAAGCCACCTAACAGCAACCAAGGTGAGAAGTCCTGTCTCAAGGCATTGGGAATCAGGTAGTGGGGGTCCACACTCAGGTCCCACCCAAACAGAGCAAATTTGGTCCCAACCTCTTCATTGTTCCATTTTTTTAAGGCTGAAACAAACTAACTACATTCCATGAGAGTCCTAATCCTAATCCTAACCTTGTCATTCCAATCACAACCAGTTCAGTTTCTTTGGGCTCTGAGAATTTCACAGGAACTGAAAACAATATGTGACTTATATCCCTGTCTTCCACTCTACCCTCACCCCTGGCAGTAAAGGTCACAGAAACACTTTCACAGGGAAGTGGGGAATGAGGAAGATTAACTGAATAACTCAACTCTCAATTTTTTCCACATAAGTATTATACTTCATCAGGTAGAAGCCAATGAGGGAGACTGAAATATGTGAAGTTTCCTCTTCATTCACACTATCATTTGGAGTTCAGAGTGAAGATACAAAATTCCTCCTGAAATGCTTCTTCATACCCCACCCACACAAAACACCTTCCCTGCACCTACTCCCATTGGGTCTGCACTCTCCCAGGGATGCTTATCTATACATGCTGGGGAAAGAAGAGTTCACAATCAAATGTAGGGAAAAATAAAATGCCCAGTAAGAAAACAGGGGTGAGGGAGTTCCAATAGCCTGCTTTGGCTGTCTTCATGGTGACAATTTCTCAGGAAAACTGTGCAGCTTTTCATTTTTCTCTGTCTCTGTACAAATAAAGCCATTTTTAAAATCTGAAAAACAAAACAACTTCATTTTAACAGATAAGATCCTTTAAGTTAAAAAATGGTTTTTAGGTACAAGATAATTTAAAAAAAATTCTTAGTTCTCAGTTTGTTTTTAGATATGACCATGAGTTGAGAAATTGATGATTCAGGGACAAGAAAAAAAAATGAACAGGGTAAGTAGTGATACAATGAGTTTTCTGGTTTTGCTTTTGTTTTTAAATCCTCAGAACATTTCCTCAGGTTTATTTTGTTAAACCCATTTAACCAGATCAGGAACCTGAGACTCAGAGAGGATAAAATAATTTAAATGTCAGAATCAAAATTTTAAATTCAGATTCTTTGGACTCTTACTATAATAACATCATATGTTTTAAAATGAAAATAGGCCATGTAGTATAACTCAGCTTTAAAACACCCCTTTTTAAAAATTTTTCCTGGAGAGCAAAGATAGATTTTACTTTCTGATTTAACCAAATAATTGTCCCTGATTTTTTTTTTTTGCTTCACTTTCTGTGAACTCTTACAATTACTTACCTAATTTTGACTATCTAAACTCCAACTCTAAATTTCTAGTGAGGTTTAATCTACAAAACCCTAAAAAAAAAATCAGTTTAAAAAGCAAACAACTAGTCTAAACTGGTTATTTTCTCTATAGGATGACACTAACTGATTTGACCAAGATTTTCATTTTTCGATTTCAGCCAGAGTGCAGGCTGTCTGGCTTCTTTAGGAAATCGCTCCAGTCTTGACTTTTCAAAGAAGCCCCCCTTTCATTGTCTGTGGCCTTTTGGAAAGGAAGTAGGATCTACAGATGTGGAAACATCTGGTAGATGAGACCTTGAGCTGTGTCTACACTGGCTAAAATAAGTGGGGACTTGGCTATTAATTTCACAACTACTCCCTCCCTAGACTCCCTCCGGATCTCATACACCAATCACTTCATACCTCTCAACCTAGTCAACATCTTTGAGGAGTGAATGAAAATTAGATCATTCCTTAGCCTTAGCTTTTTCTTGGAGCCCAAGGGGCTTCCATGTATAGGTTCTCACAGCCAACCCACCCTTTATTACTCATTCCCAAAAGCAGGCTCTGGGCTCTGAAGACTATGTTGTCCAACTAGAAATCCAGCTAGCTGCTCTTCTCAACCCAAATCCAAAGGCTTGTCAGCAGGGATTTCTAATATGGTCCAAGTCATCAATGTTTCTTTCTCTCTCCCTTAACCCCATCTCTCTTTCTTTTTCTCCCTCTTGAATTCTATCCTGGATTTTGTCTCTCTCAGTTAAAAAAAAAAACCCACAAAAAAAAAGAAAAAAAGAAAAAGGAAACGGTGTCTACACTCATCATAAGACCAAAAAAAAAAAAAAAAGAGCAATGAAGCTAGGGTCTGTATAATTGGAAGAAGGAAGAAGCCACAACACATCTCCCTAATTATCTGGATCTTTCTGAACAATTGCCTCCATCTCCCACACCAGCCCAGACTGCCATAGATGAGGTTTCTCAGAGCCAGAGGCACTGAAGAGAGACAGTGGTGTTTATGCCTAGATGTTGCCGAACAAACCACAATTGCATAGACAGAGTTATCTGGAAATCTCACTACTTCTAAAAGATCTGTGTGGGTAGAAAGATGGAGGGTGTCTGAAGATAATTTCTTTTTCATCTGACTCTAGCCCAGACCTCTGCATTCACTGAGGTACACCATCCCAATCCTATTTCTACGGAGTTGCAGAGGCACACTGGGTTTTATATCCATTTCCATGCTATAATTTGCAAATGTATTAAACCTCAATTGGGCTGTATTTTTTTTTATTTCAAAGATATTTTTCTCTAGGAGGCTGTGATAGAAAAGTGTTTATTTTTAGCAGATTTTTTCCCCCTGAGAGCCTTTGAGATGTTTATTTTGATCAAAGATATTCCTGAGCTTCACTCCAATCCTTTACCTCCACCAGGATTCACATGCAAATCATGGATATTAGAGTAGCTCTTTCTCTTCTACCTCATGACTCTAAACACATTGTCCATTGCTGTAGGCCTGGGTGCTCCCACCCACAGTGGGCCTGCTGGGCACCTGCTCTCTTGCCTATTGGTCCCGTTGCATAGTCCATGGGGTCCACTGCTCCAGAAATTCATACTGGACCCTCATTTTCTAAGGAACTTTCTGTTTTGGTCAAATAGAGAATTAAAGGGCAACCTCTCTATAATACTTTATAGTATACCTACATGTAAACTGCCTATCTTCTAGAAATATTCCACATTAGGCAGTTAATAAAAAATCATGTAACATTTAATTCTTACAACCAATAAAGAGTAGGTAATGCATGATACCATGTACTAAAATTATATCATACTTAATTCTGATAGTCAGAAATGGGGTGACTTGTGTTGGTCCCACCCTGGTATAAGGAGTCTTAGTAAATTTCATAATGGTTACAGAACATTGTCTGCTACTCTCTAACATCATTCAGTGATTCTTCACCATCTACCTCTCTTCCCAATCCCAACCCGGATACAGAGGAATTTTAGGCCCACCCTTAGGAGGTCTTCAGGTCTATGCTTTCCAATGAAAATATCCCTGGCCCCAGCACGTGTAGCTAAGGGGGCCTTTTAGGCATTATAGGGAGATATCTGGGGCTGCTCTGGTCCCCCAAAGACCTTTGAATGCATCACATCAGAAGGAAGGACCTTCTTTCACTGAGCTCTGCTTACAGGGACAGCAGACCCAAATGCTGGCTTCTCTAGACCCCAGAGAATCCTTATTCCTCAAGGAAATGGAATCCAAAACTACTGATGTGGTTTTGGGAAATCTGGGATTGGTCTTTCTCCTCTGGGGAAGGGTGGGAGTTATAGAAACCTTTCCTATTCAGAGATAGTATCCGTTGGAAAAAGAATAGGTCATTAGTAAATTGTCCTCTCACATACACAGCTATGCAAGATTCAGGGGTCCCCAGGCAATGGCCTGGACCCCAGATCCTCATAGGTCTTCTTACTCCATCCTGCATCCACAGCCCCTCTTTCTCTGTCTGGGGCACCAACAACTAACACTTTTTTGACCACATTTGGGAGATGTGGAAGTGGATTCATGGGATTTGAGCTCAGCATACCAGAGTGCCAAAGAAAATTTAATAGGGCTTGCATCCCTCTTCTCTCTTGTTCCTCTAGAATTTTAGCTCTTGAGACCCTTAACAATCTGAGTATCTATGGATGAACTTTTTAAATAAATCAAGAAAAAAATTTACAGTTCTACAGTATCTGGCAAATTAGATTGCTATTTTTTAAAAAGCACTACTGCCTGAGTGATTCTGAAAATCCAGGCAAAGAGAGGGCTCTTATCCCCTCCTGCAATTATTCAGTGGATTGAGAGTTTTGTCCTAGATTTCAAGGCAATGGAGGCCCATTACACCCCCATTCTGACCAGCCAGCGGGTTTAAGGTACAGTAGCTCTGCGTGAGGCTGGAGCGGGAAGGGGGAGGAGGAGGTGAGCTCCTGACCCGAGCCGGAGCCCGTGGCCGGGCGCTCGGCGCCTGTGATTGCTTCACTCTCGACCCGGCAGCTCCGGGGAACGTGTCGGAGCAGATTTC